GATTTTGACACGAATATACATTATTATTATTATTCATTATTATTATTTTATTATTCTTATTATTATTATTATCATTATTTATTATTATATTATTATACTCTTTAGTCAGCGAGAGGAAGTTTGGCTGATACATCATCTATCATGTAATACCCAGTCGGCATAATATGTTATTGCGGATGCTAATGTAATATACAGTAAAAACCCGCGTATAAGACATAGATTTTTCCAAAGTAGCCTCAACATTTCTATATAAATTGGTGTTACTGAAAATTAGGCCCTCAAAAGGTTCTTAAATAGGTCTTATTGATTTCTACTTTAATATGTACTAGCTGAAACCGACGCTACGTTCGCGGCTTAGTGACTGTGATGCCATGTGTTACAGTACAGTAGTGTTATTGTAGTAAGGTGTGTTATTGGAGAGTTTAGTTGTTGGCAGCATGTTTGTTTTTTATGCGCTTGAGATGTCAATACAAATACCTGTAACAATCATGCTTACACGTAACACATTCAACCATTTGTTGACAAAGCTTAAAGAGTCATTTAATTCTATAACATCAATTAGCCAAGTCTAAAAACAGTGACTAAATGTACCTAATTTTTTTTATATAACAACAATTTTTATTTTTCAGGTGAAATGTGTTCTTATGTATATCAATTTTTTGACCCGCCATTTTCAGCCACTGAGTGTTCTTAATCGGTACGTGTCTTTATGCGGTGTTTTTAATGTATTATGTAAATAATGGCAGTACTGGTGCTCTCAATAACAATGCCAGGGGTGCTGGCCATTGGTTATTGTGGCATTGGCATTGATTGGCGTTGTTATTGCATCGAATATTGCTTGAGCTCGGTCTTTTTTATTTTACCTGTGTTTCTTTTTCAAGTCTTATCATGCCATTGGGAAAATTAAGAACCTACTTAAAATTAGCACTAAAACAGGTTCTTATTAACAGGGGTCTATGAATGGCGAAATTTTAGGCCTAACATGTCTTAAAATCTATGTTGCTAATCTTATACGCGAGTTTGTACTGTAATAGCCTAAAACGTAATGCGCTACATACCATCCATACTTGAGTAATAGCTATAACCATTTACAGCTAAAAATGCCATCCACCATACACGACGCTAAAACGCTATACCATATACCAGCGCTAAAAACGCCATATAGGTCATAGCACGGTGTGTGTCACCTGATGATCTGCCTACCTGCTCATTCTACCTGTTGACCTATCTACCTGCCTATTCTGCCCGTTTATTCTACCTGCTCGCTCGCTACCTGCTTATTTGCTGACCCCGTCCGGGAACGTAACACCGTAAAGCTCTTATTGACTAAACCACTGAAGCCTGCGAGTGGCGAAAACTTATGGCCAGCAGTGATAATTCTACGCAACGCGCACTGCCAACATCTCACGCGAACAGACGGGGCGTGGGTGTGAATTTAATAAGGTTTTATCGGGACAGACGGACCCGAGTGGATGCGAATTAAAGCCAGCGATGCATCCTAGCAACCGACGACGCGGTGAGAAGAAAAAAAAATCGAGCTATAAATTTCTTTTAGCGGGTAAACGTAATAATCGAACTATGCGCATTACGCGTGAGCGCACGTAAAAACGCGAGGTCCCTGAACGAGCAATGTCGTCTTCTAAAGCGCCCGCGTCGACTGTGTGGATGGAGAGAGAGAGAGAGAGAGAGAGAGAGAGAGAGAGACAGAGACAGAGACAGAGAGACGGAGAGACAGAGAGAGAGAGAGAGAGAGAGAGAGAGAGAGAGAGAGAGAGAGAGAGAGAGAGACTTTGGTGATGTGGGGTGGGGTAGGTTAGAGAGAACGTGGTGGCTAAGAGAGAGGGGGAGAGCGAAAGCGAAAGAGGGAGGGAGAGAGAGACTAAGCTATAGGGGTACGGTATGTTAGTGAGAATTTGAGAGATTGATGGGCGAGAATATTCAGACTGTGAGGATGGGCTGGGGAAGGGGGAGTAAGTGGAGGATGCGTGGCGACGTAGGGAGGTAGTGAGATTATGTGGGTGGGGTGGGGTAGGTTAGTGAGAATGTGGCGACGTAGGGAGGTAGTGAGATTATGTGGGTGGGTGGGGTAGGTTAGTGAGAATGTGAGGTGCGGATGGGGAGGATAATGAGACGGTGAGAATGGGGTGGGGAGGGGTCATGAAAATGTGACCATGGAGGAGGAAGAGTGGGACGATGCGGTCGAGTATAGGGTAGGTTGTTTATAATCAGAAGGCGGACAGCGAGGTGATTGGGGCGGGGGTGGGGGAAGGGTTAACGGGACTGTGAGATTGGGGAAAGGAGATAGCGAGAAGAAGCTGTTCTAGTTTTTATACCAGCGTTTAGCGCAAGGTTGAGCTCGGAGCGTTTAGTTAACACGATCTAAGAGTGGAACACAATTAGCTGAAAGCTAGAGCACATCAATCCAAGAAACCTGCACAATTAGCGGAAGCTAG